AGCATGCACCAACATAGGTCTTTGTAATACTGGAGTATTTCTGGCAAATATTTTGCAGCAAACTTATTTTATGGGAATATATTAACAGTGAAATAATGCTATAAAATGTAAGGATTGAGATGAAAAATCCATGTATATTTTACATGAAATTACTCTTCCTAGTTTTATGAGGTTTACCTTTAGGAGGACAGAGCTACTCATTTATTATCTCTTCTCTGTTCTCAAAGGCATGAAATCATCACTCAAATGATAACATGTATCTGGAAGATTAAGGAGTAAAGATTTATTTTATTAGTTCCAGAAGAAACTAGATAGGAGACGTGCTAAAGCATTATAATGATCATTGGAAAATATTAAGATTTCTATTCCTAGCAATCGTGTTTCTACTTAAATATGCTAATTTCATGCCCTTTGTATATATTGTTTAGCTATACAACTTTTATTCAACCCCAATATTTTACTGGTAACCTGGGAATAAACAGTGCTACAAAGAAGTTATTGAAACTATTGGCTTTAAAAGAATTTGTGTTTTATCAGTGTCTAAATTTCTAGCAGGATACATTGATTCATCCAATAAATGAAGATTTTTCTATACAGTAATTTCTAAGGAGGAAATCAATGAAGGAAAAGATACAATTCTCTTCCTCTAAATCTAAAGTTTAGTAGGAGAGGTAAGCCACGTATACACTCACCAATGGTATGAGATATAAATTACATAGGATAAATGACCAAGAGAGGAGTTCAAAGGGCATAGAGGCCTTAGATTCCTGAGAAACCAGGCAAGCTTCATGCATTAAAATTACAATGCCTGAGCTATGAGTAAGAAATGAGGACATGAAGGAATAAAGGGCATTCCCCATGAAGAACTCAACAAAGAGCACCAAGGTGAGAAAACACGTTATTTATGAGAACAAGTAATTGTGACAGTGATAGATAAGTTCAGACTGTGTTTGTGGTAGGGTTAAAGGAGTTAGTATATTTCCTTATATCATGTTAGACAAGAAATCCTTTGATCTCTACCAAATTTAAAATTGTGCTGATATATTTAAGTATATGATACTATACGCATGCCCTTAATTGAAAAAATCCTGTTTCTAAAGTGTTCTTTATGACATATTATTATTTCTAACTTTTTTCATGTTATTTATTTATTCAACAAACGTTTACTGATTTCCTATTGTAGGGAGCTTACATTCTGGAAGTCCTTGTTTACATATGGATCATCAAATAAGAAAAATCCAGATCAATGGTATAGGTCTTAATGATTCTTTTTAGTTACCAATGCTTGCTTAATATGATTTGTGCTGAGCTAGAAGAGGAAGTGTTTATACTGAGTGCAAACATATTAAAAATATTTTCACTTAAGAATTTCTAAACACAAATAAAATTGAGATACAAAATTATAAAAAAGATTTTACTTCTCAAGTACAGAGGCAACATGACCCATTGAAACAAAGAGTGCTCAGTGCATGTCTGGGTTGATAGCAGCATTTACATTTAGCCTACTAATAAAATACATTATTTTAAAAGGATTTTCTTTTGCTGGGGGTGGGGTGGGGCCGTAAGATGTAAACTCTTGACTCTAAATGTAGTTGGAAATATTACACACTTCCATTTTTAAAGATGCTTTTGCCCATTATTGGAAAGAAGAGGGCAAAATAATACAGTCATTTTAGAAAATAAGGAACAAATGAATTGTGTAATAAGAATACCATTTCCTTAAAAGTCATAAGTAAGAAAAAATTACAAATTCATATTAGTCAGGATTCTTGAGTGCTAAAGGATGGTGCAGTTTTTACAGAACCTGATCATCAGGTGATTTTTAATAATGAAAGTAAAATGTGCCTCAGTATTGGTCAGTGTGGTCACTGTTCCATGACTGGCAAGTGGTCGGGCTCAGGAAGCCATGAACAAGGGTACAATTTCCTGCCCTGATTTCCCATGTCTATTTTTTCATCGTATTGACATCTAGCATAGTTGTCAGGACACAGTATGTCTTCTAATATTTGTTGAACTCCTGGCCATCCCTTTGACTTGCCCAGTGACTTTTGTCTACCACCGGGCAATGTAATTTCTTCTCAAATCTGCATGACAAACCACTTTACCATGGTATAATATTATCTACATATTGAAAAAAGATTATAGATGAGAAACAAAAGATCAACGTTCTAATAAAGGAAAATTATCAACTTTTAAAGCAATGTTTAACATATATTGCTTCAGCAAGTGGATAAAATACAGTTATTTAAACTATAGTCTCTAGAGAATAAATAGAAAACTTTGCAAGAGAAAATGAAATTACAATATATTTACATTGTAATAGATCTGCTTGTTCTCAAACATCTTTTGCTATATTTCTTCTAATAGAAAGAAATTCCCTTTGATATCTTAGTTCTATATCTTGATTAAAAATATTAATATTTATTTCAGACTCTTAGGTTCATTAACTTTTTATAATAATTATTAATTGTAATACACTTGCCAAATATCCTCTAAATCTGCTCATTGTTTTCATGGTTTTTAGGTCTTTTCCTTATCTATTTCTGTTAATATAAATGCTTTTGGTAAGGTCTTTACGACTTAAATAAGCTTCCTTCTTTTAGTTTCTCACTGGAGACTTAGTCATTTCCGTATTTTGGGGTTTCCATCACTTTTGGATTTCCTCCATTTCCCCCTCTGTTTCATTATACCTGATGGGTTTTTTATTCTTCTTCTACTATAGGATTATTTTCTGTATTGTAAAACTTGAGCAGTTATAAACCTCCTCTGTTTGGGGCACCTGGGAGGCTCAGTCCACTAGGCTTCCAGCTTCGGCTCAGGTCATGATCTCACATTTCATGAGTTCGAGACCCGCATCAGGCTCTGCACTGACAGTGTGGAGCCTGCTTCAGATCCTCTGTCTCCCTCTCTCTGTCTCTCCCCTTACCCCCCATCGCCTCAAAAAAAAAAAAAAAAACAAAAACAAAAAACAAAAAACAAAAAACAAAAAACAAAAAAAACCCACCTCTTCTGTTTCATGTTAACAGGCTACTTATTGCCCTTGTATTGAAAACTTATTCCCAGTGTGCCGCAATCATAAAATATCACCATTCACCTTGATCACCCCCCCATTACTGTTTCTCAAATATAATAGCTCTTTCTGAAAACATTTGTATAATATGTGTAATTTTTTGTTTTCATATTTAAAAACTCTTTTCTCTCTATCTCAAATAGCCCAGGGTCATCAGAGGTGACTTCTTTGCCCTTAGAACTTAATGGGAGAGAACCCATCTCTGGGCCTCACAGCTTAGGGGGCTCTATTCTGGCCCTCCTCCAGCTTTCTTCTTCCCCAGGAGACAAGGGGGCCATAGCCTGAATAAATGTGTCCATCGAGAGACCACATCCTCCTTCCAGCCCACGTTTCAGGTCCCCAGAACCCCAGAATTCTTTGTCCAAAGAGCCCAGACTTGCCTTCTCCCTCTTATGTGGGGCTCTTTCCCCCATCCATCCTGAGAAGGGTGCTATGTTCCACCAGTATACATAGACTTGAGCCACCAGAAGGTAGCTCTTTGGCGGTGGTGGTTGGAAGGTTGGATTGATCTTGGACATGGAGGCTGTGTGTTCACAAGAGGCTCCTCACAGTGAAGAAAAGAGCAGGGGCTGTGAAGACAAGGGCTAAGGGTGGCTCTTCTCCCACCGCCATGTTCACACATGGAAGAATTGTAGATTCAAACCCACCTACCAGATCAGTATGGAGGAAAACTGTCAAGCTAGGAGGACAGGGTTATTTTATGTAGTAGTTTTTAAGCTTGATTTAGATTTGAATATTTAAGTATATGGTATGTGGGCTTTCATTTGTACTCTTGTTCTGGGCCTTGGGAATGTTTAGAGGTGGACTTGTTCTGCCAAGTCTTTTTTATTTTATTGTATTTTTTATTGCTAAGGTCAGAAAAGGGGCCTTGAAACTTAGATCTGCACTGCCTTGTCCACTTTAAACTCAGATGATGATACTAAGTTATGAAATTCTAAATACGGTTACAGCGGAGTCCCCTGGCAACCCCTTTATTCGCTTTTATTTCATTCCTTGCTTGATTTTAGATGAATGCAAATTGAAACAATAGGTAACCAAGTAATGGTGCTGCTGCATGTGCTGGGCTGGGAACGAAAGGGAAGGCAGAAGTTCGGCTTCAGCCAGCCTTACTGAATTCCCACTGTTTGATTAGCTTTTGTGTAATATTATAGTGTTTGTGCCTGGGTGTGTAATAAGTCAGGAGTCTGCAGCTTAAGAGAATGAGCTACAACTTGAGAACTGATGAAATGCTATACTTGTGAGTGGCTCAGGATCCATAGACACATTTATAGTAAAGTATTTGTGACGCTGTTACATTCCATGTTTCATATTTCCATTGATTCATGGTACAGTTTTTTTCCCTCATTGTTGCACAGAAGTTTGAAGTGAAAATGACAGTGAATTGGGCTTCTCATTCCTCATGAGGAAAATAACGTTTGAAAGATCACATGCTTCATATATATTCCTATGCACGACATTAATATCTTCCTCCATACAATGTCATACTTTTTTACTCCATCCAATAGATATACTCTAAAGGAAACCTATCATTTTCTTTTTCAATTGACTAAATTCAAATTGAACCGGTAATTAGCAGAATGACACTTGATATACTTGGAGCCAGTGCTGACATTTACAAATTTAAGTGGTTACATTTAAATGTCTACATTTATGAATTTTTTTGGTTTTGAAGCCTATATTTTAGAGGTTAGAAGGGGATTGGCTGTTCTCCTTTTTTAATCCTAGAGCCAGAAATATGACCATAAGTAGGACTAATGACCATCAAAGCGATTTAACACATTAAGATGCTACTTGAAAAAAAATCAGGAAAGGAAGGTGATCAGAGGGTTGCAGTTCTTAGCTGTTCTTTCCCTCAGCTGTACTTTTATCTCCTTCTCCCCTTCCAAAACCTCCTTCATTAACACAGAGCTGGTTCCTGTCCTTGCTCTAGGTATCATTATTATGGGATTGGCATCAAAGAGAGCAGTGCCTATTACCACTCCGTTTATTCTGGAAAGGGCCTGACAAGGTAGAGTTCTACTTTCTTCAAGACAAATTCTTTGCATTTCCTGAAATATGCATAATAGCAATTGAATAAAAGACTTTCTCATTTTGCTTATTGAAATGTTTTCTTTTAAGCATCAGACCTTAATTTCAACTTTGTATGGACATTTGCAATGATACGGTCTAGATTATTGGGTAATTTATGTAATTTTTGATCGCTAATGAGAAATTAATAGTGAACAAGGTATACCAGAGAGATAAAAAGGAAAAATCAAGGAAGCAGAATTGTTTTTAAATTAGTATTTACTCACAAGGCTGAGTCTGTTTTCAGGCTGGAATCAATAAAATAAGGGCAGAAAATGTATGTTTTTCCCCAAGAAATAACCTGTTTTAAAAATCTCTGTCTTTGGGGCACCTGGCTGACTCAGTTGGTAGAGCGTGAGACTCTTAGTCTCGGGGTCATGAGTTTGAGCCCCACGTTGGTTATAAAGCCTCTAAAAATAATATAAAATAACGTAAAAATCTCTGTGCTTCATCAGTACCTTACAAAGATGAAAAGTTTATGACAACTCATCACTAATAATACATGCTTTGAATACCAGCTTACCTTAAGTGAGATAAAGTTACTGCCCTGTTTGAGTCTCTGTGAAAGGGAATACACTAATGATCATAACACATTTCTCTAACCTGCCATTAACCATCAGGAGGAGGTCGTTATTGGGGTGATATCCAATAAAACCAGTGATAATATACAATTACTATTTTTCATATACTGGAGCTCTTAGTAATTAAATCTGCATCGGAGATTGCCTTATAGTATGATTTACCAAGAACTCCTCTTAGCTCTCAAAATAATAAATTTTTTTGAAAAGTAAAGTGACATGTAAAAAAATAATTTTATTCACCTGAGTCATACTAAGATGAACTCAGACATGGTGAAGAACATAATGGCAGCTTATTGGCTACAACTAACTGCAACATGAAAATACAGGCTAGAATACAAATGAATATTTAATATCAAATGTTCTTTGCAGATCTTATCAGATTTCCTTAAATATGCTTCATTTACTTTTCCTTAATAGATTTATTTTTTTAAGTAAGTTGATAAGAAGGCTTGGGTCTCTTTGAAAATCAAACAGATTTCTCCAGGTTTCTTTTGCTAATCATGATCCAAAGTTACCCCTATTGTGGGTTCTCTGCATTTCCTTGATTGCTATAACTGTATATTTACATGTTAACTAATGGAAAATATACTGATTTTTAAGGTTTTCTGGAAGCAAGCTGAAGAATGAGGTAAGAATTACTTTCATTTCTATTTTATCTGCTATAATATGTACTACAAACTAAATAATACATGCTAACCGTCCTCATTGGCAAATATAGAAATAAATGTTAATTTATTAGGAGCCCATTAAATGATTGAGAACTTCAGAGAGAGCTGTTAGATTTGGGGCTACTGATTATTCTTTACATGGACCTACTGAACAATTTCCAATTAACGTAGGAAGGGTAATTTTTCAGTTATTCTCACCTAATATCAGATACTTAAGAGATTGAAAAAAAAAAAAAAGACCTTTACAGATCTAAGACACTTCCAGTTGAATATAAACAAAAAGTCTAAAGCTGAGGATATGGAAGGAATTTGTATTCGGAATATACCCATTTAGACAAAACCTTTAAGAGTTATCAAGAAACCCAAATGTTATGCTGTGGTTTGTTTTAACCACTTTGTGTGAGTGTATGTGTATATATAGTCAGTTTGCTGACCTCTTCTGCAGTGTAGAGACAGGGTGGATGGTGGAGGAGGGAACTAGGGAGAAAGGGTACATCTCTCTAACATACACACACTCACACACTTTCTCCCTAGACACCCCTTCCGCTCCCCACCCCCAACCAACGAACAGATCAGCAAACTGACTTTATCTAAATGAGTTAGACTACCATTAGGGACTGCATGGCTAATTAGGCACACGATAAGGCCTTCATTATCCTCAAGTTATCTAATCATTAAAAAGAGGTGCCACAGAACTAAGGGCACATGACAATGTGTTGTGTGGTAAATCTGGACCTGAGGTTGTAACTCCATTAGTTTGGTGAAATGATGCAAGCATATTATCTTAAGAAATAATAGAAAGCCCCCAACCCTTTGAAATGACCAATTTCTTCCCACCAGTGCTTTTAATACAGTTAATGGCTAATTACATAATAAAATCCTCTAGATTGCTCTTTTTATCAATGAAATAATAGCTCTTTATTAGATAAACAATTGTGAAAGTGCAAAAATATTGACTTAGAAATACACTTCAGTTGACTGAAGTTTATGTCAATAGGGAATTTAAGTAATTTCTCTCAGGTGTTCTTTCTACCACTTTGATGAGGTTGGTGGTACTTAGTGAGCCATCAGCTATCACGGCATGTGTATGGCAAGGCTCATTTTACAGAATAAAAGAAAAAATGTTTCCGCAGTGTACTGTTTCCTCCTTAGAAGAGTGCACTACAAAGTCGGGTGTAGATCTTGTTAACAAATTTAAACTAAAATATTTTTGTTAGGCTGTCATATAGCTGACATTTCCAAAGACTGCAACAACAATAAAGCATCATCATTATGATGATTATAGAAATTAGCACAAGGGCTTTCTAAAGGCTTGGAACTACTCTAAACACTTAAAAAATAATGGAATTTTGTTTAACAAAGCTGAAATTTTATTTATTTATTTTTTATTTAAAAACATCTTTTTTTAGTTTATTTACTGATTTTGAGAGAGAGAGAGAGAGCGCAGCAGGGGAGGGGCAGAGAGAAGGAGAGACAGAATCCCAAGCAGGCTCCATGCTGTTAGCACAGAGCCTGATGCAGGGCTTGAACTCACGAACCTTGAGATCATGACCTGAGCTGAGATCAGGAGTCGGACACTTAACCGACTGAGCCACCCAGGCACCCCTCAAAGCTGAAATTTTAAAAAATTATTTGGTACCTGAGTGATCAACCATCATAGTTTGCTCAGGACGTGAGACTGTGAGGTAGGGAAAATCAGTGTTAGCATTACTAACTTACAGCTAAGGAAACTGAGGCTGAGAGATGTGTTTGCTTTTTTCAAATTCTGAATTAAGTTCTACTTTTTAAAACTCATGCTCAAGACATTAATCGATAGATGGAGTTACAGATACTAAGGAACAAAATAGTGAAGGGATAGAATTTCTCTTTTACAGTGTAGCAGGAGAACATATCTTTTAAAGTAATTATATGCAATTATAAGGGGTGTCATGGGTATCAACCTAGTTTAAGTGGTCAGGGACATTTTCCATAGGAAGTGACATTCAAGGAAAGAACTGAGAATAAGTGGGAATTTGGAGTGGAGTCAGGAAAAAGAGTAACAGTGATGGAATCGATGTAACGTTATAGGTTAGGGTTTCTCAAACTTGGTATTACTCATGTTTTGGGCTATATAATTCTATGTTGTGAGGGATGTCCTGTGCACTGCAAGATGTTTAGCAACATCATGGTATCTCTGGCTTCTACTCACCAGATTCCACATCCTCCTCTTGTGACAAGCAGAAATGTCTCTGATGTTACCAAATGTCAACCACTGACATATGGGAAGGCAAACAAGGAGCATCATGTTATAGATTTGGGGATAAGTCTGGATGAAAGAATATCTGGACGAGGATGATAGCTCTAGAGATGGAGAGAAGTGCCTGATTTTAGCTGGGAAACGTTGGTAGTGGATTGTAAGATAGTTCTATTTTTAATTTTTTGAGGAACCTCCATATTGTTTTCCACAGTGGCTGCACCAGTATGCATTCCTACCAACAGTGCAAGAGGGTTTTTTTTTTTTCTCTACAGCCTCACCAACCTGATTGTTTCTTGCACTTTTGATTTTTGCCATTCTGACAGGTGTGAGGTGATATCTCACTGTAGTTTTGAGTTGCAGTTCCCTGAAGATGAGAAATGTTCAGAATCTTTTCAAGTGTCTGTTGGTGTCTGTTCATGTCTTCTGCCCATTTTTTCATTGGATTGTTTGTTTTTTGGGTATTGAGTCATATCAGTTGTTTATAAATTTTGGATTCTAACCCTTTATCAGATATGTTATTGGCAAATATCTTCTCCCATTCAGTAAGCTCCTTTTTAGTTTTTTTTTTAATGTTTATTTTTGACAGAAAGAGAGAGAGAGAGAGAGAGAGAGAGAAAGAACATGAGTGGGGGAGGGGCAGAGAGAGAGAGGGAGACACAGAATCCGAAGCAGGCTCCAGGCTCGGAGCTGTCAGCACAGAGCCTGACGCGGGGCTCGAACTCACAAACAGTGAGATCATGACCTGAGCCAAAGTCGGATGCTCAACCGACTGAGCCACCCAGGTGCCCCGCTTTTTAGTTTTGTTGTTTCCTTTGCTGTGCAGAAGCTTTTTATTTAAATGAAAATTTTAAATGAAAAGACATACCACATGAGTGGCTAGGTATGTTAGATATTATAAATGGGCCAATTCTTCCTAAATTAATTTAGACATTTAATACTCTAATAAAAATTTGAGTGGGTAATTGATTTTTGGAAATGATTAAAATGACTATACATTTAATGTAGAAGGATATACAGAAAGTAATAGTTAAGAGAAATGTAAATAAGAATAGTGAAAAGGGACTTGTTTGGCAGATATCAAAATATTATGACACTATGATATAAACTCAACTGTAGGTAGAATAAATCCATAACAGAGATTAGATACCTGAAAAACAAGACCCTAGTATAAATAAGCATTTAATGTATGATCAAAGAGACATTACAACCAATGAAGGAAAATTTTTTTTTCAGTAAATTGTCTTAATTGTTTTTTGGAGGAGGATGTAGTGTCAAATAAATAAATAAAATTCTTCATAGCATGATGTTAGAAACATTGACCATTTTGGAAAAAAATTATGCCTCATGAATTTCATATAAATTATTAAATATAAAAACAGTACTTAGAAGGGAACATTTTTATCTACTTCATTTCTGGATAAGGAATGATTTTCCCTTTTTTTGGTGCAAAAAAAGGTGATTTTATTAAAGCACGGGGACAGAACCTGTGGGCAGAAAGAGCTGCTGGGAATGATTTTCTAAGATGCAAATTTAAGAAGTCAAAGGAAAAATATAAAGTGGAGAAATTGAAAACTATTTTTTTTTAATTTTTTTTTTCAACGTTTTTTTTAATTTATTTTTGGGACAGAGAGAGACAGAGCATGAACGGGGGAGGGGCAGAGAGAGAGGGAGACACAGAATCGGAAACAGGCTCCAGGCTCCGAGCCATCAGCCCAGAGCCCGACGCGGGGCTCGAACTCACGGACCGCGAGATCGTGACCTGGCTGAAGTCGGACGCTTAACCGACTACGCCACCCAGGCGCCCCTGAAAACTATTTTTGTATCAACAGCGTGACATATAAAATTTGAAGTCAAAAGAAAGACTGGAGAAAATATTTTCAGCAAATATGACAATGGGATAATATTTCTATTAAGTGAAGAAATCCTATCAATTTATAGAAAACTATGAAGATGACAATAAACAGTAAAAGACATGAATAGAAAATACACATAAGGAAGAAAAGGGCAATAAATGCATGAAAATGGACTGCCCAATAAATAAAAAATAAATAAAATTTTGAATTCTGTAATTATCAAATATTTAGAAATTAATATGATGATGTTGGTGAAGTTCTGGTGAGATAAGCTGTTTCGTATCCCTCTGGTGAATACTGACCAAACTCCCTGGATAAAAAGTTGTAAGATCTGTGTCAAGTCTTCAAAGTGTTCATGGTTTTTCTCCCACAGTTTCACTTTTGCATGAATCTCATATACAGAAATAACAGAAAATGCTTACAAAATATTATAAATTGTATAAATAAAATTGTAATCGACAACTATGAAAAACTGTGTAACCTAAATTACTACCAATAAAGAAATGGTGACATCATTTTTTTAAAAAATATTTTTATTTATTTTTGAGACAGAGAGAGACAGACCACAAGCAGGGGAGGGGCAGAGAGAGAGGGAGGCACAGAATCCGAAGCAGGCTCCAGGCTCTGAGAGCCTGACGCGGGGCTCGAACTCACAGACTGTGAGATCATGACCTGAGCTGAAGTCGGATGCTCAACCGACTGAGCCACCCAGGTGCCCCATGGTGACATCATTTATAGGACTTTTATGGGACTAAATATTATGCCATTTATTAAAAATCTCTTTTAATGACATGGAAAAATGTTAATTAGGAAGAGGACACAAAAGCAAATATATGTATATGTGGCTTCAAATGTAAATAAAACTGGATAT